TTACAATTACATACATATATAATCTCACGAGCATTTAAAGTTATAAACACAACTGTAACTGCATATCACAGGTGCTATTGTAATTCTGATATTCAGACCAACAGCACGATTGTAAGTGTGATATTTTTTTTTATACAACAGTTCAATAAACAAGTTAATACTGAATAACTTGCATTTTAGGCCAGTTACTTTGTCTATTTTTGCTCTGAAGGCGAAAGTAGTCCCAAACGAAGCCAAAGCAGATTCAACCTCTATGTCTCCAAGCAACACACAGCAGTGGTGATTCATTCCTGAACGAGTCAGTAGTGTTTTAAATGAATCAGTGGAGTGAGTGATTCAATGTCACTTGCCACCACCTACTGGCATAACAATATCACTACAGAAAGTCACTGGAAAACACAAGGCTGCCAAAGAGTGATACAATCAGTAATGGTTGAAATAGATTGCAATTTAGGTATTCATCATTCATTAATATATTGTCTACAGTGGTTATGGCCCTGCATTATTGTAATAACGAAAAAACAAAAAACAAAAACATCTAAATTGGTCTGTTGGCTCCAATCTAGTTATCAAAAGAGACCTTTTGATTAGTGCTGAAGGAAAATCCAATTAAAATCACAATGTTATCTCTAAGCAATTACCCAGAAAGAATGAGGGTGAAAGAGAAAGAGAAAGGACGAATCCTCAAGCCTATATGACAACAGAATAAACACAATCCAATCAATGCAGCTAAAAAAAACTAAGCTATACAAACACACAGAGAGAAAAAAGCTAGAAAGATTGATGATATACACTTGAACTGAGATTTCTTGTGTGATTATATCCTCCGAATTAAGATTCCACCCCAGACCGCACTTACCTGATTTTTTAAAGGCACAAATATAAAATTAGACAACGTTTGTGTAACTTCATCTGTTCCTGTCCACGTGGCCTTATGTTGATGTTAAAGAGCGTGCTGCCATCTGGTGGTAGTTTTCTGATATTACAGACACCTATTATTCACAGAGCAATACTGTCACTGATAATATATAATTTAACAAAAATAAAATTATAATATAATTCATGTTATTTTGAAAATTAAAAAAATTATAATAGTTTAGCATTGTTTTATGATTGTTCAATAATTCATTTGATCCCCACAGTGATCCCCACCTGATTCATATACACAAATGATTTAAAAATTACATTTATTGCATAAGGGTCTATTTAGCCAAAGGAATGTAGGTTTTTGTAGGATTTTTCCACAATAGGCTATAATCTTCACAAATGAAGACAACTTTGTATGAATTTTGAACAATCTGCAGACACAAAAAAATTAAAGATCAATTGATCAGTTTGGTCAAACCGGTTCACAAAGATCAAGGATTGCCAACTTTGCCAAGGTTGGAGCAAAACTCTGAAGGTCTGAGGAGGTCCAAATGATTCACTTCGCGAATCATCAATCTGAATCTGAATCTGAATCTTCAGAAGCGCACCAAATAAACCTCCAACAGGCTATTTGCACAGAACAAGTCTTTTCTTTATGTTTATGCTCCTAAGTTTAGCTGGGTATTACCAGTTTCTCCAGTACATATTACTTCATGCCAACAATGCGTTTTACATTAATAAAAGACAATTATGTAGCATCATTAAGAACAAACATGATCTAATACTAAAGAAAAGTATATTTATAAATTAACATTAAGATTAATCCTATGAGTAATTTGCTCTAAATACAGTCCAGCAACGATGGTCAGCTGTGCCATTATTTATAAAATCTACCTGTAGGCCTACCTACTTTTTTTGATACTCAAGTAGTTTTAATATCAGTTAGTTTAATACAATTACCTAAATATTTTAAAATAATAATAATAATTATTATTATTATTGGCAATTAACTTTACCTGAGACATCCATAAAGGCATCTTTCACTTTTGACTTTTACTTAAATATGACAATTTTACAATATCAATTGTAAAATATGAGGGTAATATTTATGATTTATGATATTTAATGTCCCTGGCAACAGTTCAGTCCAATTTAGTCCACTTGTAGCAACCACCTTTTTCAAGATGCATAAAAGCTTAATAAAACAAAATATAGACAGCCTATGCTTTTTGATGTGCCTATAAAAACACAAATTAGCAACCTAATCAGCCATTATAAAACGGATAGTTCCGGTCCTTGATTCTGAGCCACGTTCGAAGCTGTTGTAAATTACTCTACAAACATACACCTTTGTTTACGTTTGTGTTGCTCGGCAACCACTTTGTTGCAACCACAACTGATTCTGAGGAACTACATTGATTGGTGGAAGAATAATGTTTTATTAATATCATTACACTTTATTTGCTATTTTTTATTTTGTGAAACCTTACTACGTAAATGGAATACGTATATGGTAACTCCGCTTCGCGTCGTGCCTAACAACGCCCCTTAGCAGTTATACATTCACTGTAAACCACGGCTTCTTGGGGCTTATTGCTTTAATATGACATTTGAAGAGTAGACCACTAACATAAGTGTTGGCGCCTCCTTGGATATTTTCCCTTTCAAATATTTAATTTTAATATTTGTACATTACATATTAAAACTTAATTTTAACTACTGTATGCGTTTATTTATGTATGTGGGTATGTATGTAGAGTATAATAAATCATTTGTATGAGGAAAAACAACCAAAAACGTTTATGGCAATTGCTTCAGTATTGTATGACAAGGTATCTCCTGAAGTTGGCTGAGGCAATGTTTGATTATGAAGAAGCTCAAATATAACATAGTTCTGACCTTTCTATCTACATAAATATATATTGACTTTCATTGGCCTTTAAAAACAAAAAAAAAACACTTCACTTTTATAACTTTTCACTTAATCACTTTTATAAGTGCAGAGAGCACACTACTAATGTGTCTAATGTAGCCTACAAGAAAAGAGGAAGAGAGAGTAAGAACAAATGAGACCATACATTTAATTGACCTGACATGAGTTTAATCACTGTTGAGAGTGAAGAGTCCTTCATCATTAGGCTGATTATATAACAGGTGAATAAATCATGTTTCACATTGTTATACGTCATAGTTCTCATAGATCATCTAGAGTGGAATCAACAGGAACTTGGCACATACAGAAATACAGTCACATGACCTGTGCTGTGTAACACACACAGACCAATAGATGCTCACATACATCACAGTTCACACAGTCTTACTGCTGACTTTAAAGCATTAAGATTATTGTAACATTAGTTTGTGTGTGTGTGCACATGATCATGTATAAGCATATATGCAGACAAGTGTGTGTGTGTGTGTTTGTATAACTGGACAGAAGGGGACGGCTTCAGGTCAGACGATTTAAATTTCTTAACATAAAGGTTCAAGTTCTTTAAACTTAATATCAAATAAAATATAATTATTTGAAGAAAAAAAAACAATTATCTACAGAAACATCATGTGCAACAATGTACATTTTGGTTCTAAGGCAATAATTGTTCCTACACAACACTAGTGCTGTCAATGCTGTGAGTATTTTGTCAGTGTTCTTTCTGTGTTGATGAGCAACATTATTTCAATGCTGCCTCTCCATTGCACCAACGCATTCACTGAATGGCTGGAGCATTGCCTCGTGGGACCTGTCGTGTTTTTGAGACACTGAATAGCACCGTAGGAATTCCCTTCAACAGCGACTTTGCTTTTTTCCAAGCAGGGAAAACTTGACATTGGGAATATAGCAACAGAGATCATTCCCTTGCTCTGTGAGTTTTTTCAGCTTCATTGGTACTGCTCACGGGTTCATTTCCATGATTGGAGAACACAGTTCCATAGTCTTTCTGTGTTAAGTGCATATAACGCGCACAGGGTTAAGGTGGTTGTAGTCAGTTGTCACAGCTGTATCGGAAATCTTATGCAAGGCTTTATAACATAATTTCCTGTTCACATCATGTTCATTGTTCACTTCTTCAGGAGGCGTTACTGGAAGAGTATATTCTATCAGTTCCCTCTCTCTCTCACACACACAAAACAATTACAACAACTTTACATGGTTTCTGCAACTCATAAGGCCCAGATGGAATCTGCAGACTTTTTCACATTTTAAGAAAAAAAATCTGCAGAATAAATTGCGTGAAATGGAACACTCTTATTGATAGCTGAAAGCATTATCAAATAATGCAAAGTGTGAACACGCAAGGCATGGGGCAACTTTGTAGAGTAAATGTAACAGCAATGCAGATTCCTTGTGGGCCTGCTCACGAATGAAGCACAAGACACTGGGTCTCATTCACTTAAAACTGCAGGGATTCTTTTGTATTTGTAAGCACAGGAACACTTCTCACAATTGTTTCCACCTAATTTATGTAAGCACATGAATTTGTTCTTAACTGAGTATTTTTAAATGAGTGTGGCGACGTTATTTGCATAAAACACGTCAAATCCATCTCCATGCAAGGACATTCTACACAGCCTTTTCTTTGCAGTCTTTTGTCACCTAAAAGCATGTGCAGAAAGATCCTAGAGCAATGCCAAGTGTGCCATCCTCAAAACCAGTTCAAACTCAATCGACACCCAGCTGTACATACATGTATCTGCATTGTTATACAAAGAAACCTCTCAACTTGAACTATAATGCTGCTTTTCAAGGTATATGATCAAATATATTTAATATTAAACATCTATTCATAACATTTCATCCTAGCACGATTATAAGGCCACCCAGAGCATGTGATTTACATACAATAAATCTTAGCGTGAAAGTTATCATTGAATCATGATGTTTGCGCAGATTTCACGCACAAATTCATGTGCACGCATGCTTTGTGAATAAGACCCACTGTCGTGTAGTTCTAACCACTTGTGTCGTCACAGCGTAAACAATGGGCTACATGTATGCAAGGAAGCTTATTGTTAAATAGGGCTACATATTTACTTTTGCACTTCTGAAAATGGGTTTTGCCATAAAGCTAACAGAATAATTGTAAAATTACAATCACATGAATTTAAAAACATTTGAATGAGTTCAGGCTGGTATTTGAAGGCCTCTCTCTCTCTCTCTCTCTCTCTCTCTCAAACACACACATCCACATACACACATAGTTTATTTGAGGTACAGTGTGGTGTGGCATCAGCAGCCAAACTGTCCATGCTGTCCAGAGCAAAATGCACACACACACAATAGCAGTTCCTTGTTGTCTTATTGTCATTGTGTCTTAGTTTCAGTGTGCAACTCTATATATAACTGGCTTATCTGAAGAATGGTGAGCCAACAAAACTTTTGTATATGAGTGTGTGTTTTTTTCCAGGGGTTGATTTACTACACTGGTCCAGTCAGAGAGCGCAGGATACCACTCCAGTGGGCGGAGCTATCCTACACATAAGAGCAGCTGATTGGAGTTTAGGGTCAGTATGACAGCACTTCCGTAGTGGCTGAACATAAAGAGGCAAATCCAATGCAGGAAACATCACGGCAGGTTTTCTCATTGACATAAATCAATCTCAATAGTTCTCTGGAGTCTGTTTCTCCTTGTAAAATTTTATCCCTGTACTTAGTCTCTCTGGAGTCTCTTTCACCTCTCGGGGAGATGTTACTTGCGTGTGTGTAGTGCCTCCTGAAACTTTGTGCTAGTATAGCGGATATGGAAGCCTTTCTTACTGATTGTGTCATCAGAGTGGAAATGAATCAACACTGCATCGCTAGCAGAGTAAAGCTCCTCACGAGGCTAAACAGAGAGAGAGGGGTCAGTTGAAGACATATAGGAAGCTTTATGATATAAGAAAATAAACTCATCAGTATCACACATGCACACACTGCTCATACCCCAGATCCACAAAAGCGTCCGAGTTTGTGCGCTCCAGTGTCGTAACCATCGTAAAGTTCGATGTAGTCGTACCCGCAGTCGGCCTCCTCCTCTACCTCAAAGGTGGTGAAGGTGAGCTCGATGCCATAACCCGACTCTGCCATTATGAGCCACTCGCAGTCGGTGTGGCCGGGGTAGTTATTATCCCCAAACTGAGCATGAGAATACAGGTTCTTCTGCCGTGCTTCTGCTTTTAACCTACCGCCACATTCTACACACAAAGACACACATGTACTGTTGATCATCACTGATTTTCTAAAAATCTGTTGACCCTTCATCCTATTAGAAACAGTTCTGTTCACTTAAACTAATGTTACTAGTAGTAATAGCTGACAAATATATCTCTTCTCTTCTCAGTTGACTGTAATAAGCAACAATAACCAGGGTGGGCAGAGCTTAGCAACAAGTCAAATGAGAAAAGGCAAAACTTCAGGGACTCTAGTCAACATGCAATGCAGTAATGATCCACTAGAGGGGTCTGTTAAACTGTCAGCATGACATGAGAATTGCTTGTATGAACACTTGAATCACATCTGATCCAATACATGCAAATAATCAAAATCAGACACAGAAAAGACAGGGTAGTTACCAGTGGAATGAGTGGCCTGGAAGCCTTTCCTTTGCACTGAGGCGTCGGAGATGAAGCGCAGGTACATCTTGTTGCCTGTGGAAATGAGCGGTTCTGGAATCTTACTGCCACACAGACGGCTCAGGATAGGCGTCTTGTCCGAGTCGCCGTCAAAGGCCTCCAGGTGATCATATGCGCATTCTTGGTGCTGCTCAATCTCGAACTCATTAAAAGACTAGAGATACAAAGACACAACAGAGGAAAAAAATATTAGGAGAAAAGAATTTTGCAGCATTCACCTCAGCTAGAAGTCGGACACATCTGACATATTTAAGGAGCAGATAAACATGTTTGGCTGTGATTGGGACAAGCCAATTTTCATTGCAGCAGCTATAGGAATTAAAATCTTAAGTTTCAGTTAAAAGAGACAATTACATTTTTATAGAGGCCTTGTTTGTTTCATGTACATTAGCAGAACTAAATAAAAAACAGCTAAGTTTAAATAAATGCAATACAATACTAATACATTATTGACATGATACACTACTGTTCAAAAGTTTAGGGTCATTCAATTTTTATTAAATAAATTAATACTTATATTCAGCAAGGATGCAAATAAAATGATTAAAAGTAGGGATGCACCAATACCACTTTTTCCAGTACTCGCCCGATACCGATACTTTTTATATTCATTGCATACATATACTTCGTAGACATCCTTAATCTCTAATAACTCCATCCTGCTGTCTGTTGTTCTGTTGTCAGTGTTTTTTATTGTCTGAATATGGCACTTAACACATGCTGTGTGGTATCGGGGCATTTTAACGAGTACGAGTACGAGTACAGAAGCTCAGTATCGGGCCCGATACCGTGCATCCCTAATTAAAAGTGAGAGAAAAGCCTTGTATTGTTACAAAAAATGGTTCTTTTGAACTTTCTATTCATCAAAGAATCTTGAAAAATGCATCACTGTTTCCACAAAAAAAATTAAGCAGCACAAATGCACTTATCAAATTTGGAAAAATATTTAATAAACATGCAAGGGTCAGGACGTGTGAATTCTGCATACATCTGTAGAGCTTTCTGTGGGAATAGGTTCCTTGTGGGACTAAACCGAAAATCGCTGCTTAAGGGCGTTGCCAAGATAGCCACTGAGTGAACTGGCTTGCCTTTACAAAACTTCAAACTGTGTTGTGTTGGAGCATCTGCAAATCCCTGAACCACTGCACGAGTTTGAATTACATGTTTTAAAGTTGTACCTTTAGTGTTTACAACATTATCATTATGTAAAAAGCCAGCTGTTACGGCAACACAGAGAGAGAGCAATAAAAGCATGAGCATGGTGATAAAGTTACTCTACAAATGTATAATGAGAACTTCAAACGTTAATGCCAAAATGATATATTAATTCTAATGGAATCAATCCCCAAAACACTTCTACCTCATCCAAACAAACAATAAAATTCTCCTTTTTGTGACTTCATTTGCTTTCTGACAAGGGCCATTTAGAATCGCTTTAGGTCTAAACAGACGACTAAGAAGTCAGATCCAGAGAACAGTGGGAGACACTGAGGTCACCCTCTAAACCCCTGCCATAGCTGTCTGCTAACATGTTTGTTAATAGGTTCAAATCTGTGAATTGAAATATGAGCAAACAGGCACTGCTCAAGCTTTATTAATGCACTTTACTCGATGTCTTGGGTTTCTTGTATCTTCTGCATGTTTGTGAGACTTTGTACTGTCTATGTAATATAGGAGAGAGGGGTTTGGATGCATGTGTAAATGTTTGCATTGTGGTGTGTTTGTTTGCTTGAGAGGAGATTATACATGTGTTTATGTGTGATGTGAGATTATCTGCCTTTGAACATGAGAGTAGGATTACATGTGTGTTTGTGTCTCTGCTCGTGTGCTGCTTGTTTGTACTGAGTGTAAGGCTTAAGGAGATGTTTTTGTGTAATGTAAATGTTGTTTAACAGATGCAAACGCATAGCACAAAATTATATAAAGACTCACAATCTTGACCCGGTGGCCTGGGGTTGCAGTGATGTCCCATGTGCACTCCTTCCTGCTGGGGTATTTGTCAGGCCAGTTCGGACTGCTGATGGTTCCACTTGTGCTGTGAATCTTGTGCTCACACTCAGCTGATAAACAAGTATGGGGTGAAGAGGGTAAAGATCATTAGAAATAGTGATGCAGCACAATAATAACACGTGAGTGATACAGTTTAGATAAGTCACCCATGAGTACATCCAGGAAATTTTCACTTTTTTGCATTTACAAAGTATAGTGTTACAAAAAGGTTGTTTGTTTTTTTAAATGAAAAGAAATAAACTAGCTAGATTTATGATGTTAATAACTGTGGAAACATGTCATCACAATCTGTGAAAAGAATCCACTGTAGGTCAAAACACTTATGTCACAGACGCGTTTGTCCAAATGAAGAGTAGCAAATCATACTTTTGAACTTTGCCCTGGTTGTGAGGTGTGCACATCACAGAAAGACCATTAAAGAATGCTTAACCTTTAGTATGTTTACCTGGGCTCATGGGTTTACCTGAGACACACCTTTCCAATAAGCTAGAGTAGATCTCTTTGACAAGAGACTAGCTTTCTTTAACGTATTCTCCCTCATCCTACTAGAAAATGTTCAAAATATTCTTTTGGAATTTTTGGCCAAATGTGTGTTTGCAGGTGCGAGTACTGTATTTGTGTGTGTGTGTGTGTGTGTGTGTGTGTGTGTGTGTGCGCGCAAGGACAAGTGATTACAGCTAGATCCATGCTGTCAGTAAACCTGCTGTGACCCTGAGGAACCAGGTCAGACAAACATTTTCACCAAAACTCTGCTGAGTGTATATATGCATGTTAGAATGGGTGTGCAACTCTTTTGCTATAGTGTTATCTAATATGAATGACTGAGAACAATCTGACCTGCTGTTGCTTTCTCTGTCTCCACATACAGAAGAGACCAAAGTCTGAGACCACTAGTGAAAATGCTTGTATTTTGCATTACACATTATAAATTGTGAAAAGTTGAATTGATTAATGTACATGACTTTATTTGATTGAGCACTGTTTCTGCACTGTACTGATCGCACTTGTCTTTAAACATTTTGTTTTTGTCACTCATATTAATTTAATTTATGCCATTTTAATTTCTTTTCAATTAATTAATTATTTTTATAAACTTTTTATTGTATAGCTTTTTAATTTATGGACCTTTTTATGATTTTATTTTTTTTTAAGTAAAATTTCCTTGCCTTATGTTTTAATGACAGTACCACAAACTATATGAACTCTACAAGTTTGTGTTTAACCTGATGGTCATCTTATCCACCATGATTTGAGAATGTTCCAAGATCATGTGCTTTAATGGAAGCGTTTGACCTTTTGTACAAAAGAGTCCACATGGTCAATGACACAAATTTGGTTGATTAGTGACCTAGATGTTCTGAACTCTAAATGATGTTTCTTGACTTTATATATCTTAACTTTATTTTATTTTATTAAATTTTAAAACTTGTATTGTATTTGTTTCCAGGTTTAAATTTTAAAAAAAAATCTGATTTTCAATGTGGTATCAGACTTTTGGACCCCACTGTATCATGTACTGTATTACCGCTATCACAATGTACACACACAAACACACATGAGCACTAAGTCTGGTTAAGCCTCTATTCTTCCCTCTCAAAATCAGGTCAGTGTGCATTAGTGAACAAAGATATTTTCAGTGTTCTGCCTCTGGTGTTCACACTCACACATGCACACGTTTCTCAGATACTATGGCTGCTTCAGATGCTATTGGTTTGTATGTGTTTGAATGTGAATACTTAAGGTGTCTTGAAAAGAGTTATTTGTGTGTGTTTCCATATATTGTCTTAAGTGTGTTATATCAGCCCATTGGCTATCTGTGTTGCTCCCCCTCTCTGTAGTTTCATTGGACTAAACTTAAAATCATTCATTTTACAGTACTATCATTAAATAGCACAATACACCAGACAGCTCTTGACTACTGATACTCTTGTGTAAATACACTAGTAATACTTGTACAGGCAACTAGTAAAACTGGTCGATTGCTACTACTGTTACTACTGAGACTTTTAAGAGATACACATCTTGCACACACACATGCACATGCACAAAGGAAAATGAAAACAGAAGCAGGATTAAGACTTTGAAGCTTTGTGAAACTCCAGATGTTTAAAATCAGAATCAGTGAGCTAGTCTTGAAGAGACAGTAAAGACTGAGTGAGTGAGCGAGTGAGTGTGTTGTGTGTGTGTGTATTCCAGGATGCCGCTGGTTTAACTTCTTGACCCTGACTCTGGAGCTTAAAGGGTAATATCTCTATCCTCCTCTCCTTAGGTCTAGCTGTTTTTCTTTTCAAAGAGAAACACACACACACACACACAGCTTTAAAGTTTCCAAAGCCCACAAAAATGTTAAAAGGCCTGCAGGGCAGAGCTGCACTGGAGGTTGACAGTGCTTGTATGAAAGGCAAGGTTTAGTGGGAGACACTGTTTAACTATAACAGACCATCTAAATGCTTCAACATGTGCGGAGATCTGGAGGACAACTGTTTTACCGTTTACTTTAACGCTTTAAGTTCAGTCACCTCATTAACTGTATTTATAATGCAGCTCTAACTATCAAGACCACAAACAGTTTTATCATAAAATTATTAGATTAAATGTTTTTAAAAGTTTAGTCTGTTTTCATTTTATCTAACTTCACTTTGACTCTATAAACGGGGTTGTATTTTGCTTCTACGCCTTTAAGATCACTATGTAAACGGCCTCTTTGGATGTGAAATTATCAACTATGCTTTGTTGAGCACTGTAGGTTTGTTATCGGCTCCAATGTAGTTTTATTTATACAATAACTGCTCCATTCTTCATAACAAAATTTCTTCAAAGCCTGCATTATATTGTGACAGGTTCACATTGAAATGTTAAGGTCCGATTGAAATTGAAAAAAACATTCTATAGTTAAATCTTAATTGTAACTGAGATTTAAAAGCCAAAATAGAGACAAAAAGAGAAAACCTGCCAGAAGGCCAGCACAAAAATGACATTACTCTGCATCTTAAATGCTGAGAAGAAAGTTGCATTATTATTTTATTTTATTTTTTTGCTGTTCCTCAGCAGAATGCAGTATAAATCAACATGCTTACACATGCTAGAAGCACCACCGCCAGATGACTACCCTCACTTATCCTTTTCTAGCCACTATTATTCTTTTGCGAGTGCCTGTACATACCTTCCTTGCAGTCATGTTTGTTCTCATGAAGAATAAAGCCGTTGCGGCACTGGCACACATAGCTGCCAATAGTGTTAATACACTCATGCTGGCATCCACCGTTATCCTTTGAACATTCATCTTTATCTGTAACAAAAAGTGAAGAGAGCGATGAATTGTTAGTTCATCTGAAACAGAAGGAAGATATGAGATCCAACCAAATCCTTTGATTGAGACATTTCGAAATCTGGTTAAGAGATGTAACAATGTGCTCTTCACTGTAATGATAAATTCTGACATCTGGAGTCTGATTTTGTTATTTATTTTTCTATTAAGAGCAATTACAGTGAGTGATTGAGGTCCCATGCCTGTGTCAGTTCATTAGCCAAAAGAGAAGGCAGAAAATCTTGTAAAGAACAGTGAGAAAAGACTAAAGATTCATATTTAATCAATTTTTTATCTGTGATATTTCACCACAAAAACCTGCATCTTCTTCTGTAACCAGTCACAATCCATTTAACCACATGCTAAATGAACTGAAACAGAGCAATACCAAATTTAAATAAAGCCATTTTTCTAGCACACCTCCATTTTATGTAAATTAGGCTCATTATAGATGCATTTATTATAGATGTACCATTATCTGATTTGCATCATTCCTGCCGTTAATTGGGCACAAAAACAACACTCTTGCAAATAAACCAAGAAATCATTGGGCACAACTGCCCCCTTTTCCCCTTTTAAAACAAAGAAGGCAGGAGAAAATCATACTGTATGTTGTTGGGGAAGCGCTAAGTGATTAAGAAAAAGTGATAGAATATTTAGTCTGTGTGCTTGATAAGTGTAAATTAAATGTGTCACGTAATGGCTGAAAGTTCAGAAACAGTCAATGATTCCTTATGTTGGTGTTTTCCCATTGCGCATCTCTACGCCCCCAGTGTCCCATGACTCAGAAGCCTCATGAAAGCTGTTATTTCCGTGGAAGTCTCAGGTTTAGCTAATTATCACACTTCAACCACTGCTCAAAACCACCAGCATATTTATCATACAAACCCAATGAATAACAGATGGAGAGAGCTAAAGAGACTCAAGTTTTTGTGGGTCACCACACATTTTTCATAATTAATGCTGTTTTCAAAGCACGTCTTTAACCATTTCCCACTATGTTTGTGTGCAGATTATACAGTGAATAGCACCCTATTCTTATTTTTCAAAAAAAAAAAAAGAATGCTTGATAATAAAATGTCACAGCCGAGGAGATAAAAGGAATTAAGTGTGCCTCTTAAAAATCAACCCTACTCCAAAAAAATCATTTTAAATCATATCAAAATCTTGCTTTCTTTACTGTGCATATAGAAGAAATGAATCAGCTCTTTCACTGTTTCCAGTTCAGCGCTCTCATTCGGCTCAGTACACACTCATACAGATTAGGAGTGTGTGGGAGAGCTCTGGGGACCTCCCTAAATCTGTTGGCACTGAGCCAGCAAAAATCCAAGCTCAGGGACTTCCAGACAATGAGAGTGACGCTATTATAACTCATTGAGAGTTGAGCTTATTCTTTCTCTCACCCAGATACAGCGTTACTCATTCACCATGTGCGTGTGCTAAATGTTCATTTGTGCATTTCATTTATGCATCCAGGAGATCCAAATATAAACAGATGAATCATAAAACTGCAGATACTGCTTGTGCTTCAGCTTAAGCACGATAAGTTATGTGATTTTTCTATCAAAAAAACTAGCCATTAAGGAAAATGTTTGCGTCTTGTGCCTTCGGGTTTACGGTTATTAGATTAACTGACATGTCTTTGAAACGTGGGGTTTTGGAGAGAGGTTGTGTGGTCATGAGGGCAAAAGGACCTTTATATTTAGAAAGTATTAATCCTACTATAATTCAAAATAATAAATAAAATGTTGCTATCCCCTTGTCAAAGAGATGATCTAGTTTTAATCACAATTGTGTTGTTGTTTATCTGGTTCATCTTCTGTAATCAGAAAATATATTTTTCTCTGTACCTTTGCCAACCAATTTGAGTCTTTTCATATCTTCTGGATCTCATGGGTGTGAGATTATTAAATAATAATAAAAACAGGGATTCACTGCACGGGGGAGGAAATGTTCACAACTGATGTGCTTGTTTCATGAAATTGACTGGACTATTTACTTCTGATCTATTATCAGCAGATATTAAAAACATATTTATACACAAACTAATATATCTTTTTCTTTTCCTTTCTCTTGTAGATTCTATAGTGCTTATGAGTATTATGACATTATCATACGCTCATATGAATCTTCTATATATACAGTATATTACTTGTATTTAGTTTATTACTAGTTTGTGAGCTCTTTAGACAAAAAACTGAATCATGTTAAGTGTAGGATAAAAATGGTTACAAATAATATTTAACCATTTGTAAGAAAGTTATTCAATCTTATTATCATGCAAGTTCAACAAATGGGACATTTGTTGCCACAGAGACAGAGCCCAGTTTCCAAGAAGTTGAATGGATTCTTAAAGGCACCTCAGATGTGAGGGCAAATCCATTGCAAAAAATCAATCAGGGGAGAGAAGGCTGTACCTGAAACACGCCTTGACATGACCTGCTGGCCAATCAAATCTGGCACATCATTATCAACGTCCTGGCAGGACAAAAATATAAAGAGGCGCTCTTTGCAGTGAGCGAGCCTGTCTGTGGAAAAGAACGCCCTGATTCACACACATTTAAAGTTTCAGTGCACTTTTCATTTTACAAATTACACAGTCAACGAGTTTACAAACACTTCCAGATGTTATTTACCCCAAAACATCTATATTTCAAATTTTACAAGTGACAATCACGCATCCAAATAGATTAAAATCATAACTGTGCTTAAGTCCAGATTCCAGTGTTTAGATTAATGCTTTTGTACAGCCTGAACATTTCTAACCAAACCCACAGAACTTCTCATGATATAGTCACGCGAGAAAGAGAGGGGGCATTTCACCTCAGTAAATGTTTGAAAAGCTTTCGAAATTTACATTATGAAATTCATATATACAAGCGAGCTTGGGTGGAGGTGTCAAAACATAGCAAAAGACGTCCAAATCTCCATTTCAAATGAATAGCACTGACACGGTGGTCTTACCGGAGAAGAAATGAGCTTTGAAGCCTTTCTTGGAGACTGTGTTGTCGGATTTGAACTCGATTCGCATGTTGTTGTACTGGGAGGTGATAACCTCAGGAACCTCCGTACCGCAGTATTTCCCATGAAGCTTCGAATCAGATGACAAACCGCTCCGCACTTCAACATAGTCATACTTGCACACCTGCACAAATAAAATATACAAATAACAGACTGATAAACATCAATCTTTCTGTCTGTCCGGTTGTGTATCTACCTACACAAACAATAACACACTCTCCCACACACAGTTGGAGATTCTCACCTCATTTCCCTCTAGTTCAAAGGTTTCAAACTGCATGGATATGCGGTACTGAGTGGGAGCCACCACTTGCCACACACAGTTCTTATTGGGAGGGTATTCCTTAGGCCAACCTGGGGTAGTAATTGTGCCGTTCAACTTAGTCAGCAAGCCACCACATGCAGCTGAAAGAGAAAAAGAATGAGAACCAGTGTTATTTTAGTATCACCGATGCTATTAAAGTTTTTATTCATATTTTGTATTAGATTTATTTTTATATTTTCTCTTTTCATTTTAATTTTTATAAAAAAAAATTTTAAATTTGTGTGTTTTTGTCATTTTATTAGTTTTTGTATTTTTGTGTTTTTATTTTAGTTAGGGTTTAATAATTTTTTATTACATTTTAGTTTTAGTTATTTTAGTACATCAAAATAAACTAAATGGAAATAAGAAATGGTGCCTTGGTAACTAGCTTTTTTATATTTTATTTTATTTTACTTCAGTTAAGACATTTTATTTTAGGTAACGATTGATAAAAATATTATCAATATATATAAATAATTATATTTATATAATTTTTTTATGATTTTCATTTTAGTTTACTATAATAACCCTTGTGAGAACAAAGCTTTAAAAACACAACAGTACAACAATACAGACTAATAAGCATTAAAATAAATAGACACTATAGCACAGTTTTTGATGGCTTTTGTGTTATATTTGAGCAAAACCACAACACATCGTACTTTATTAATGACAGAAACCATGTGGTTTCTGGGCAGAGTGAGTGTTGACTAAGTGCTGTTTGTTCTTGTTGTTTTCCTGTTGACTGCGGATGTTTTCCTGAACCAGTCAGTTTGGCTTGAGTATCCGCTGAGCATGTTTGAGTCAGGCAGACGGAAGCACCTGTGTGCAGTGTATTCACACACAAACATTCTCTTACCTTCACAGCTCTTCTTGTCAGGGGCCAGTTCATATCCAGGATCACAGGCACATTTGAAGCTTCCTAATGTGTTAACACATCTCTGTTCGCAGCCCCCATTATCTGGCTTCAGACACTCGTCTTCCTCTGTTTTAATAACACGGACACAGAGTAACATCAGTTGAATAGACAAGAGCCAACTCATTAGCATCTGATAGCACTATTTTGTTACATGTGTGTGTACCTTTGAAGAAGTTTGCAGCAAAGCCTGCTTTATTAACTGTCCCATCAGAGACAAATTTCATCCAGAGGGTGTTAGAGGTGGAACGGATATCTTCAGGTTTATCATAGCCACAGAATCGACCAATCAGAGGGCTGTTCTCAGTTAGTCCATCTCTAACTTCTAGGTAGTCATATGCACAGCTGTCATGCCTCTCGATCTGCACAAACACAGGCACAATGCAGTATGTGTTAATGGCATTAGCATGTCAATGGCACCTTAGGTGTTAGTGCATAGGAAACAATCCGATAAAAACAGGATCTCAGGCGTCTCTGTGTATATTATATGCCAGGCTCTCAGGTCTGGTACATGTCCTGCTCTTTATAGACTGCATGCGTGCAAAAGAAAGTGTGAATATGTGTATGCAAAGGCAGAGAGTGTGTTTTCATTCCCTCTGAACAATTCCACACCTTTGACCTACTGACACACACAATGGTCTGCATACATACTTACGGTATGACTTGTAACAACATTCTGACGTTTGAAGGTAAATAATCAAACATGCCTGTGTTTTGACCTCACATACCTGCAGTCTTTTAGGAAACTCAACTTGACAAAGATGTGTGCCCATTTGTGCATGTATATCATAAATATTATGTTTAACTTTAAACAGCACACATGTAAATAGCAACAACTATCCTCAGAATGAAAAGACAAGGGAAAAGTAGAAAAAGGAAAGAGGAAGGCTAAAGTGAAAAAAGAAATGAACTGGAAATTAATAAAGAGAATACAGCCAAAAGAGAGGAGACAACTTCACCTCAAAGACCTGAAAGCTCAAGCCCACGCTGTAGCCCTCAGACACTGTGATCCTCCACACACATTCCTTAGATGGACGGTAGTCATCTGGATAGTTTGGAGACTGAATCTGTCCAGAGTCCTTACTGATCTCCCCTCCACATATTGCTGCCAGACACATAGCAAAGAAAGAGAGAGAATTAGACTTTTACTCTGTCATCAGCAATATTTATGCTATTTTCAATGCGTGTCTAAAAACCATACTATTTATTAAAATCATATTTTAATATTATTTATAAAAACATATTGTACTGCTTATGCTGGTTTACACCCATCATAAATCAGAAAATGAAGAAGGAAGAGTTTTTTGGATTCTGCAAAAAAGACCAGGTGTTATGGGTACTAACTCTCCCCACATGCCTACACTTGTATGCTGAGTGTGATTCATTGGCCAATTTTTTTCCCCTAAATTTCTTTGGACATCACAATAATTTTATCTTTTGTTATCTTTTGGGCACGATAAATGTGTAGTTAAAATCTGATATTGAGACAGCCCTAACACACACACCTTCATAGACTGCTGCAAATCCCTTTCCAACCCAGTTGCTGCTACTGCGGAATTCAATCCACATCCGACTGTTGGTAGAGACCAACACTTCTGGAATTTTATCACCACAGAAGCGACCTGCACAGATACACACACACACACACACAATAAATAATAGTGCCCCATAAGCATGCATTGCATTGGTAATACATATTATCGCTTAATATATTCCATATTATTCCTGATGAGTCCACCAGCATGCATGTACCCAGCAATGGCGCTTTCCTCCAGTATCCGTCACGAACCTCAATGTAGTCATACCAGCACAGGCTGCTCTTGTAGAGGTCCATAGTGGTGAAGTTTAACACTATCTGAAATGGGCAGCACACATGCAGCTGTCATATACATCAAACTTCACACATTAGATCAGCGTTTCTTTATCTACAACCTCGTAGTCAAGACAATTACAGGAAGAAATGGATTAAAAATTGCAGATACAGATAAATGTGGAACATTTCAGTACAACTTAACACCCAGAAGTGTCTTACCTTCTCCCCAGGTGTGACGGAGATCCTCCATACACAGTGTGTATATGATGGGTATCCATTAGGATATCCTGGAGATGAGAAATTCCCCACTGAGTCCTGCAGTGTTTCACCGCATGCTGGATAGAGACCAACACAATAACATAATTAATGAGTGTAAGTGCAAAATTCCATTTATTATATATATCAAAAAACTTGAATGTGTAACTTTAATTAGATGTCAAGTTAGTAAACTCTTTAAAAGATTCAGTGTATGATTCGTTAGACTGATTCAAACTGATTACTTGTGAGTCTTTTGACCAATTCATTAAAAGTACCAACTAAACAGTCACTCGCTCAAGAATCAGACTACACTGGACGTGAAATATGTTAAATGTGTTAAAGACAACACAATAGAAAGATGTTCACAACTCAGCTAAAAATTCTTGTATCGTAGCGCTGTATAGTCAGCAGTGGCGGAGCGCCACCGCTAAATAGCAGTGCAGGAAACAGATACACACACACACAATGAAGTAACAAAGACCTATTGACTGTTCTAATGAGATCTCAGGAGCCAAACAGTGCAGAATAGGAGAGCAGATTCTCTGTTCAAGAGAAGCCAAATCATCTGCTAACATTTGCCAAATGTTCCTCCCAATTAGCGATGTAGCGGTTGGCCAAACATTTGTCTTAGAGGCCTCTGTTTTTCATCACAGCTCATTGGACAGTGATTGCGTATGGAGGTGCTTTTGGGTGTCAATTTCAAGGAAAAATAAAGACGTAGTCAAGTCACACAACAATCCGATGCAGAGTTGTGTGGCAGATAAGCTGTTATCTTTGGCTTGGGTGGAGACAGTCACCCCTATTTCAGACTAAACTTTGACACAACCTGAATGTAACAGCAGAGACAGGAACTTTGGACATACAACAGTAGTTTCCAAAACTTACACTGAAAATTATGTCATCATTTACTTTAATTTACATTTACATAATTTATCATGTCACCCATGTCAATTAATTTTTCTTTTTTTCCCAAAACATAAAAGCAGATGTTGGGCATAATGTCCAAGCTGCATTTTCCATACAAAGAACGTTAATGGTGATTTACACATTCATAACCAAAAATGACCAAAAAAGTAATTTGGGCTACTTTTATAAATATTTTAGTATCCTTTTGTCTTTATGTCTTTCTTGGATCATTTTTCCTCTACCTACCTTGAAGGGAAAAAACAGACCTTTTATTGTGCTTCACAAGAAAAGTCTGGAGTCTGGAAAGGCTGGGTACCCTACTCCTTTTTGGCAAACTGTCTAATAAAAGTGGGCTTTCAGTCTACAAATTTTGTCACAGACAGTGAATATTGTGGAAGAGAGAGAGCTTTGTCTTTGTATGTGAAGTAGGCCATGCGTCACGCATTTACACACACACCCTCACTAGTAGTGCATAAACTCAAAACAATACAGCAGTAAAATAACACTTATATGCCACTCACATGGACACACACATGCATAGGCAGTAGAGCGAGAGGGTCTTATCATGCTCTTTGTCCCTAAAATGTCAGGGTGGCCCTCTTTTCTTTCCTGAGTGAAAAACACATCCATCCATCCACTGACCCTCTTGTCCTATGTAGGGTTGCAATTTGGTGTCTCCAATGCACATACTCCAAATGTCTTTGGATTGTGGGAGAAACCGGAACATATGGAGGAACCCACGCCAACATGGAAAGAACATGCCAACTACACACAGGAAGGTCTTCTAGCTTAGCTGGGACTTAAACCAGGGATATTCTTGCGGTAAGGTGACAGTGCTACCCACTGAGCCACTGTAAGAAGCTCATGTGCATCATAAAACTGAGAAAAACAAATGATCTCATGCAAGCTGACACTATATTGGCTAGAAACAATTATCTGCACATAAAGTGAGGTCATCTTCCTGCAGTTAACACCCTTGGTTTCCTTCATTTAAATTTCACTCTCTCTCTCATACACACTCACACACACTGTAGTCCTACCTGGACATCTGTATAGCTTCTTGGCTTGGGATATATCTCCTTTGCTGAGTCTAGTTCTCTGACCGATAGCAGGCCTGACACCATTCTCATCACGAGAGGGAAGAATCGTGTCCAAAAACATTCCTCTACAGAAGAGAAAGACAAAAAGGAGAACATATATATTTGAATAGAAAGTTCTGAATTAAATTAATGGGTGTGAAATTCCTAGTGTGTGACAGAAGTCTTACCTGGAGAAAGTGTTTCTGGCATAATGCATGATGCTGTCAAAATCATACGGCTCACCAAGAGAGTTGACATCCCCTGGTTCCATCTTAATGAAGTTATACTCCTGACCTAAGTGTGCACAGATACACTCATATTAAAACAGATAGGCTACCTTTACAAAGCCAGCATTTAGAATTTATTTACTAACAGGTGTGACTGTCGAATTGTCCTGTTCATACAACAGCAGCTCATATATTGTCTGCATGAAGAAATAACTGGAGTCAAGTCTTTTCTATTCTTGTGATAGCCATGAATAATGCCTGTAACCACTGCACCAATGACTTAATTAAGTACCAAAGGTGGTAATTTCAATAACACAGAAAATTCTTAATATAACTGAGACAATTTTATTTAAACACTAGTACAAAGCTCAAATATTGTCATCAAAAATAATTTTAAAAAGTACTTTTAATTGGAGGAGAAAAATGATGAGTGAATATTAAAAAAATCTCCAACTTTATAATTTCCGTCTTTTTTTAAGTCATAAAAATTTAGCGAAATCATTTTGCTTATTGGTTATCAATGTTGTTTACTAAAAAAAATGCTGTTAAAAAATGTTTGTTAAAATGCTGTATTTATGAACCAAGACTGAATCCATTGGTTTCCTTCATTTAAATTTCACTCTCTCTCTCATACACACTCACACACACTGTAGTCCTACCTGGACATCTGTATAGCTTCTTGGCTTGGGATATATCTCCTTTGCTGAGTCTAGTTCTCTGACCGATAGCAGGCCTGACACCATTCTCATCACGAGAGGGAAGAATCGTGTCCAAAAACATTCCTCTACAGAAGAGAAAGACAAAAAGGAGAACATATATATTTGAATAGAAAGTTCTGAATTAAATTAATGGGTGTGAAATTCCTAGTGTGTGACAGAAGTCTTACCTGGAGAAAGTGTTTCTGGCATAATGCATGATGCTGTCAAAATCATACGGCTCACCAAGAGAGTTGACATCCCCTGGTTCCATCTTAATGAAGTTATACTCCTGACCTAAGTGTGCACAGATACACTCATATTAAAACAGATAGGCTACCTTTACAAAGCCAGCATTTAGAATTTATTTACTAACAGGTGTGACTGTCGAATTGTCCTGTTCATACAACAGCAGCTCATATATTGTCTGCATGAAGAAATAACTGGAGTCAAGTCTTTTCTATTCTTGTGATAGCCATGAATAATGCCTGTAACTACTGCACCAATGACTTAATTAAGTACCAAAGGTGGTAATTTCAATAACACAGAAAATTCTTAATATAACTGAGACAATTTTATTTAAACACTAGTACAAAGCTCAAATATTGTCATCAAAAATAATTTTAAAAAGTACTTTTAATTGGAGGAGAAAAATGATGAGTGAATATTAAAAAAATCTCCAACTTTATAATTTCCGTCTTTTTTTAAGTCATAAAAATTTAGCGAAATCATTTTGCTTATTGGTTATCAATGTTGTTTACTAAAAAAAATGCTGTTAAAAAATGTTTGTTAAAATGCTGTATTTATGAACCAAGACTGAATCAAATGATGAGTGAATATTACAAAAATCTCCAACTTTATAATTTCCGTCTTTTTTTAAGTCATAAAAATTTAGCGAAATCATTTTGCTTATTGGTTATCAATGTTGTTTACTAAAAAAAATGCTGTTAAAAAATGTTTGTTAAAATGCTGTATTTATGAACCAAGACTGAATCCATATTCTGCAGCTGTGTGAATGCAGTCATATTGAACCAGCAGTTACCTGGTAGGGTGCAAAGACTTGAGTCATGGGTCATGCAGTACCTGGCTGGATGTTGTCCCGAATGATGGTCACATGATCGTCACGGTCAGGTCGTGTGTGCTCGTGCCAAAAGCCAATTACGTGTCCAAGTTCGTGAACGACAATGCCAAACTTGTCACAGTTCTTCCCAATGGATATTGCCTGGGGACCATTACCACGACGGCCGACATAAGAGCAACACCTTGAGAACCAATAAATAAAACGTTAAAAGTCTGTAATTACTGAAATGTCAGCATCTTGTTGGCTCACCCCACTCTTGAATAACTCAGATTCTGATTATGTCACAGAAGTGTCAATGTTTGTAATGAGGGGGTGATGGGAGGTGAGCTGAACTAATGCTTAGTTGTTTGGGGTACCGTAGTTTAGTGTGGGTTGAACAGGGGATAGTGTGAAATGATGAGAGCTGATTAACGGTAATTAGGGTTACTTGGGGTTAGCTTTCAGATTCTTGCTGTGTTGTTTCCTTAATGACAAATAAGCACACAATGTTCACCTCTGACTGAGTGCCAGTGCAATGAATCACAGGAGAGACAAAGAGGAAAGAGAAAGAAACTGGTGGGTCCCAAAATAAGTGCCAAAAGACAGTCTAAAGCAGTGGTTTTGCTTAAGAACGCAGATTTTAAGTTGGGAATCAAGTGGCCACTTCCATATAAAAAATTTTAATTTTCTTTCCCTTGCTGTCCATGACCCTCATAACAGACCTGTGACCCATTTGTAGGTTTCGTGACTCACCAGTTAAGAACCACTTGTCTAAAGTATTGATGCAATATTGTGAGAAAAAGAATTACAATATATGGATAATCGATTGTGCCGGCAAAGTGCTATTCAAGTTGCTCTGTATTGTGTGTGTTGCATTAAGCAGGTGAGAATATTCGGCAGATTAAGGTAAATTGTTTCACTAGCTGGTGTTTGTACAAGCCCGCAAATCCGATTATTATTAACAGAAATATTGCCAGCAGCCTCACAAATCTGCTGACTCTAAAGTTTGTGCTCTGGTCAGCTATGTTTCCATATGCAGATCAGTTACTGTATTTGATGTGCTGTTCATTTTGATTCTCTCAATTGTTTTTCTGAATAGCAATAGCATGTTGCCACTTACGCTATATGGAATGAAATGTTTAGTGTTTCAGTGTGCAGTGGTTGAGGATTTTGTGATTGCCCCAAAGGTCCTGTTTCCAACTGATATTAAGATGCATTTTTGTGATTTGATTACAAGCAGTCAGTGCTTAAGGTGCGGGGAGGGTGGGGCCTTGGTGAAATCCGAACACAGTCTTAATACAAGGTGGAAACAGGGCCAAAGTAAGGTCAAACCTGTGAAGTCAGAGTTCGAGGAATCCAGATGGAATCTCTATAGTCCTCCATTAAGCATGTCTCAGACACTCAAACACACCCACAAACAAAGCAGTAATCTCGATTCCACTCGCTCACTATTTATAACTTGGATTAGAACACCTTAATCCCTCATTTCATAGACATTGATAGTGTGCAGTAGACACACATGAACACAGAGAGATATTCAAACAAATAAAAGGAAACACTCAAAATAAAACACATTCACCAATCTACATCATAAAAGAGAGAATAATATTTAGCCAAAACAAACATGCATCTATTTTCTGTAATGCTGCTTTGGAACCATTTGTATTGTAAAATTAATAACTTCCGTTGAGTTGAACTGAAATGAATTGAACTTTTTAACTAGTGACAGTGACTAGTGACATTTGTGCAAAAGAAATAGACATCAAGCCTGTCAACACTTTCTCATAATACAAACATACACACATGGGCCCAAGCTATGTACCAAATGCTTAAAAAGCACATAGCGTCGAGTAGAAGGTTAACACTGCTTGTGTTGGTCTGTCAGCAGGTTTATATCTGAATGACGTCTGCTGATTATAACAGATATGACCACACTGAGATGGATAATATTATGTAATGCTCTCGCAACCTCTCTCCCCTCCACTCTAATCTAGCCTTGTCCTTCTGTCAATGGTCATTCTGCCTATTTCTCTGTAATCTGTCTGGATCTGCCTCATTATTTCTCCTCACCTTCCATCAGCATCATTCCCACAGAGATATTTAACATCCTCAGTTTCCTTTTCATTCCAGTTTCCATAACATTCATAGACTGATAACACTTCTATTAGTGGTTAAAAACCTTCTTATCAGGTGTTGTGTAATATTAAACAATGCTATATGTGATCAAATAATCAATTAAAAGCCAAGTTTTCAGATACGAACAATCGCCAACAATGTTGATCTAGACTTATGCGATTTCCGTCTTCCCTTCTCCCTCTCTCTCTTCCTTGTTAACACACTGTTAGGATTCCATTCCTAAGAACAATGGGCGGTTTGCTCACCGTGGTAACAGGGAAGGAAGGAAAGCCAGGCCGACTGTAGTCATCTCAGTCGACTCTCGCTCCCTCGCTCTCGCAAACACACACATACCTTTGTTTTAAATACACTTTACAGGATACACTCATAACAATGAGAGCTGAGTATCTGAGTGTGTTCCTTAATGACCACAGCGTTTCATTCAACCTTTCTTACACCCAGTACATGCAAATACTAATAGAGCCCAGAGGTAAAGAATCTCTAATTTAGATAGTACCCCAACAAAGTGCTTTATACCCCAGCAAAGTGGAACTGGTAGCCAACCTTGAAGTGTTTCATGCATTTTAAATGAAACATGCAGCGAATAATCATTCACAATAAGATTTATAATATGCATTTAGAAAATAGATAGGATGAATTTTCATTTCATGCTGACTTCATTTCAATTATTCCATTTTCAAATATCGTAAATGTGAACTGATTCATTATAACTTCTGATCAATAAACCAAATGTAGATAGTGGAGTCAAGAAGATACTAAGTTAAATTACTTGGGATGTAAACACCAACGCCAACATTAAGCACCATTACTGAGTAGCTTGGTGTCAGAAGCACAAGTGTTGTGATGGATGGCACAGTATCAATGTGTGCATTACTATTTTAAAATGTTATATAATTATAGAGAACACACAAACACAAACCCGCAGGGTCTGTAGGTGAAGACGATGTAGCTCTCCTCATCAGTTTTCTCGATGAAAGTCACACATGTCTGTTTCTCCCAGTGTCTCATTGCTTGCTTTAACATGGCCCTCTGACTTCCTGAAAAACACATACAGAAATCATTGTGTAAATCACACACATTCATATACTGATATTAAGCACACAGACACTCAGGTCCCCTTACCGGTGAAGTTGCCTCCTATGACGTAAGGGATGACACCTCCGGGCCAGATCTTCTCAGCTCGGGATGTGGCAGCACGTGGCACTCGAGACTTCACACCTCTGCCGCTGTTTACTCTCTTCCCTCCAGCTTTGGAGCTCGACACATCTTTACTGCTGTTCACCGGCCACGACTCTACACCACAGACAGAGCCTTTTTTAGAGCCTTTTTGAGAGTTTATTCTCTAATAGTTAAATATACATATGCACAAGCTCTTACTGCAATAAAATTCATCCTGCCAACACATGACAGCACTATTGTTATGATTCCAGTGCAATAAAAATCACCAATTGTGATATTTATTTATTAGATATTTTAGGGCTGTCGCGATTTGTCGATTCTATTCGACTATTCGATTTTTAAAAATCCTCAACTTCATTTTGCCTGTGTCGGCTAACCGACAAAATTCCGGAAGTGGCGCATATCACGGACGAGAATCCATAAAACACATTATTAGACTGTTTTCCAAGGCCTCATGATATATTAAACCCGTTTAAAAATCATAATTAAGCATAACTGTGAATTCACAAACGCTACGATTTAATTAAATAATTATATGTGATGCAGTTATAGGCGTGTAGGTTACGTACGTGTGTCTCATAGCGGCTCCGTTCACAGTAATGTGTGGAACGGCTCAAACTCCATTTCTGCATGTTGTTGCGAGTTGGGGTTTATTATAACGTTGATCTGGGAATGCAACGTGCGCCATTTCATCAGATTTGTAAAGTAAATAATTTATAAATCCACGCAAACACAGGAGAATACATAATTATCTCGCAGTTTCAAAATAAAAGCTCAAACCCTCACTCTGAGTTTACACGTTTTGATGTCCACATATTACATATACAATGACTATAGCATTTCTGTCGTAAAGAAATGGCCAAATATTAAAGATTAAGTGGACATTTGAATTAAATGATGCTTGGTAAATATTAAACAAGTA